TAGCTCGAGGGGTAGTGTTGGACATGGGAATTGCTATAATGGTTGTGAATGATAGGAAGCAGCACACCGTCCATCCATGTGCGGAAATCTTCGTCCCGGAGCCGACTAGACTTTTGCTCTTCCCGGTATAAGTTAGGGAACAGCAAGTATAGCGATACATCTTCGAATCCGATGAGGCGACCGAAAGTGTAATGCGGGATTTGATGTACAGGACGGTGGACTCGGCGTTGGTTTCCCACCATATCCAGGTATTGCACCGGTCTCGGGCAGAGGTGGAGATCCGACTGCAGGTCTGAAACAGGCATCTGGGTAGGAGACCAGCGAATTCCTTGCTTGGCGATGGCAAGGTTGCTGGGAAACCCTGTGACGCTATCCACGTCAAAGCTAACCCCAGCAACATGCGTGATTCGTTCGTCCTCGTTCAAGCAGATATGAGGCGCCTGACCTCCAGAGCCGAGACCACAATAAACCCGTCGCCGGTCTGAGCTACTCATCTTTCCAGAAAGGTCATCTTCTGGAGATGCAATGCGAGTAGAGCTCAGAACCTCAGGACAAATGTCTGCACTGCTTTCCAGGTAAGCAGCAAGGCCGATATGCTCCCTTTGGGTCTGATCGTGCTGGACCTTTGCTGAACGGTGACAGTCTGTACAACATCCTTGAAACTTAACTAACTGCTGTACCAGCTGACGTCCAAGACGTTTCACTCGATATTCATGGTCTGCATCAGCGGGTGGTGAGGTTTCCATAGTGTCGACCGCAGCCATTGGAGCTAGGTTTTCTGTATCACCTTCCGAATGTCCTGAAAGTAGTAACGGTACTCCTGGAACTTCATCACTCCCCAAAGGGGACCCGCCTGGCAAATATGGCTCTAGGGTAGGGGTAGGCGGAGGAAGGAGATGCGAGAAATCTGGACCATCAAGTTCCGGAGCGTGACGTCCAATCTCTGATAACATAGCGGCACTCTCAAGTCGATGATCAGACCGTTGGACCGAGGCTCCACCATCGACTTGAAGTGAAACAGGGGGTAAGGAGAGAGTACCCGCGTTGTAGAAGTGAGCATGTTGCTCAGCCCTTTTGTCAGAAGTTGCTTTCTGCCGCTTTGCTCGCCTTTGTTCGACGTTCGCATTCGTTTTATCCTGAGGAGTAGCGTATTGGCGTGGTCGTCCGCGCCTCTTACGTCCGAGCTCAGAACCAAGTGACTCATCCATACTCGAAGGCTTAACAGGTGCTATTTGGACGTATAGAATAGAAGTTTGGGACTGGTAGGAATAAAACAAAACAAACAAAGTACTTACACAAATACATCCGTAAACCCCCTAAGGTTACAGATGTGGAGATTACTTGACTAAACAGACTTAGCGCGGGTATGCAGTGCGCTAGCTCGTGGAAGGACTAGTTTTGACCACGAAATTCTGATTGGCTATGGGCTGGTGAAGCGACGACGACGTTCACAACTAATACGGGCGATAGCGTCACAACGAGAGCAGGAATGAAGATAAAAAGAGTTTTTATAATATCTGAATGACCTTGAGACTGGGTATAGGGTATGGAAAGTAGTTTTGGTCAGCTCCCTACGCCCATGTCTAGTCACCTTTTTCATGATGTCTCTTCATCCCGTGTTTCCTTACACCAGTCTAACGGCAGCTTGCATATAAAGCAGCATAATAGCTCTTTGAACCTGATCTCTCTGCGTGCCGCATTATACCCTTCCTCTCCTACTACCTTGCACCACTGCACGGCCTTCTCATGCCGCGGCTCATCTGGGACCTCCCCTACCTCTAGTCCCTTCTGATGACGTCGGACGTGACATACCGGACACTCCTCTGCAACATCGTCTAGCCATCGGAAAAGCATTCTAATCCGCATACCCTCTTCCTTGCCATATGCCTTCCAAATCCTCCCGCCTTTTCTCGTGTCATGACCCTCTCCCTCACTCTCTCCCTCACTCTCTCCCTCACTCTCTCCCTCACTCTCTCCCTCACTCTCTCCCTCACTCTCTCCCTCACTCTCTCCCTCACTCTCTCCATCACTCTCACTCTCTCCTTCAATCACCCCCTCGGCCCTGCCTGCACCCTCATCACTATTATTATCCTGCTGAAGCAGCTCACATCGATCACAAAGTGCAGCCCCATCCACATCCTTACACGTTTCGCCGGCTGCTCCGTCCATAAACGCCGAAATCACAGCCCTTCGACATCCCGGCGTTGATATGAATGCCTCCATCTGTGCCTGATTGATATCATCTACAAAGCTTCGATGCTGATCCTCTCGTTGCCGCCGTCCGTCGTGTACGATGATTGACCGGACCACCTCGCCTGCCCGCCGCCCTCCTCGCCCAGTCTGCTACACAAAATCAACGAGCCCATACGGCTTCTCCATATAAACCACGGCCACAATCCCCTCGATATCAATACCTGTCCCTAACCCTGTTGTTGCTGCAATCCAACGGCTTGTATGTCCGCCCTCTATCCATGCCGTCCGCGCCTCGTGACGGTCCTTTTCGCTCATGCCGCTGTAATGAAACCCGCAGCCGATCTCGTCAGCTATCGCTTCACACTGACTCTTTGACCGGCAGTATATGACCCCCTTCTGACAACCCGTCATATCTCTATCTAGCTGTTTGATCACCTCGACCGTGCAATCCTCAACAGCATCACGCCCGGGCTTGACTTGCTAAACCTCATAGCGGCAGTTCGGCTTAACCGTCCGATCCCGCACCATGACCGCTGACTTCGCTAGCATCTCGCCACGGAACCAATCCTCCAGCACGACAGGCAGCGTTGCTGTGAGCAGTACTAACGGGCAGCCAAACCGACGTAGCCCAATTAGCTCGCCAAGCTTAGCCCGGTAGCCAATATCCATGATCACAGTATGACATTCATCCACGAATATCCGCTGCAGCAGCCCTGTACACGACAGCCCGTCAACGTACCCGGAAAACTCGGCGCTTGACACAATATCGGCACTGACGACGATCAAGCGTGCCGCCCGCGGCATGCCCTCTCGTCCCGAATTCATCGATGACCTATATCAGATACAGTCGACCCCCATATCTGTTGCCTTGCCACCAAGTCATCCATCAGTGCAACAAACGGCACGACCACGATGCTTATGCCTGTATCCTGCATCACGGCCGGCAGCATGAATAATATGCTCTTGCCGGCCCCGGTCGGTAGCACATTGATCGCCGTCTGATCTGCTTTGAGTGCCATGATCGATCGCATGCACTCAGCCTGCTTGTCGGATCGCCAAGTCGCCTTCGGTCCTAGCAGCCTTCGCAGCCCATCCGTCATCTCGTCCCCTATCATCTTCCTCTTCTAAGCCGCCTCTCCCTCCTTATTCGTCTTTCTCCGCTTGCGGCTAGTTGCTCGGTTTGAACTATCAGCCCTTTGCTGCTGCTGCTGCCCCGTCACTTGACTATCCCGCTTACGCTTCACCGCCGTCTTCTCTGTATCCCCCTCTCCCTCTATACTGCTTCCCTCTAAATACTGATGCCACAGCCTGCTGATCTCCTTGAATGTCGCGATCATCTCCGGTTGCAGCTTACCCGGGAAGCCGATATGTACGGCATAGTGCTGCCTCGCAATCCGTGTTCCGTGCGTCGACTGCAAATCCCATACGATATTCCAGCTTCCTCCACAGTCAACCGGCTCACCTGTGATCGGATCGATCTCGACGTTATCATCCTCATCCTCATCATCCATCTTACCTTCTAGCTGCTTCATCACAAGCCCTCGAATCCTCCGCCCCATCTCGATCGCGATCGCCCGATATCGTCCCACCCCTAACCTGACCCCCGTCCCGGCCTGCATGATGCAAGCAAGCTTCCTGCTGAGCCGGTCGGTTTCCCATACCGCCGAGCTGCCATCCCTCCACATATACTCGAGCTGCTCTCCACGCGGCTCGGCAAGCTGACACTCCCGCCGCAGTACCCTCTCGGTCGGAAGCAGCCATGCGATATACGCCACAATCATCCGCCCGATCCAGTCGGGGACGAACCGTGCTACCTTCCGGCCGTTGTCACGGATTGCCTTCATCTTGTCTCGGTCGGTCACGATCATGACCTGCCCGTCCATTATGAATATATTCCAGATCAGCTGCCACGAATCGCAGTGCCGCAGCGTCGTGATTTCCGGTCCCCTTCCCGGAAGCCCACCCCACGTATATATGAGCACGAGCAGCGTCTCCCGCAGCAGCCGCAAGTCTCAAAGCCACTTCTTAATACGATGTCGCTTCCATCGGGCCCTTGCGGCATCCCATATCGATGCTTCCATCAGCCGCATCACCTTTGCCGGCCCGGGCTCGAGCCAGTTGTTCTTCGGGTTGCTTGCAAATGACTGACCTGCCCCGAGCCGTATCATATTATCGATAATCCGCCCCATATCGATCTTCTTACTGACCGGCTGCCATACCCCCCCGAATAGCTTATCTAATAGCTTCTCTGCCTCGGTCACCTCATCGCGCAGTGTGCGTATGAAATCCTCGACGCTGATATGCTCGCCCATATGAAATAATCCCTCTCCGTCGTCGGACCACCGTATCGACGGCTGCCCCCCCATCTTCTGCCAGTACCCTTTCCCGTATGCCATCCATCCGATGACCGTGCTCATAACGGTGTGCGTGCCCATACACATCCACAATATGTGCTGCTCCTGAAATGCAAGTACGGCCTTGATCCCGACCTCGTTACGATCTAGCGGCTAATTCTCAAATGCAGCCTCTAAAAAGAACAGCCAGGCCTACCACACTATAGCAGCTAGCAGACCGGTATATAAATGTGGCTCGACGTAGCCTATCGGGCGTTGCTTAATACCAAGCGCCGCACAGAAACATAGTAGCGAATTCGTATATGTGTTTCCACTAACATGAGTTTTAATCGAAGCTACGATAAACCGGAATACAGCTTGATCTAGTGCATCTTGCAGCAGGCTAGTCATACCTTTATCTCCTCGCTCGTCTTCGTCACTGTCATCGTCGTCTTGATATTCGTCTTCATCTCCGTCTCCATCTTCGTCTTCGTCTTCGTCCTTATCCTTAGCTTGTCTCTTTCTGCCACTGGAAAATCTGCTGTTATAACTGCTTGGAACCCTATCCCTCTCAAGCTCTTCTGCCACATCCTGCAGCAAGCTCCACTGCTCATCCGTAAAGCGAACGGCCCAGCGTTCAAGCGCTTCCTCGCGCCCGATACGGTATGCCTTCCAGCAGAAGCTCAAATAGCGGTGACCGACAGACTTATACTGACTCATCGATTCCTCCTTACCCTTACGGCCAAACGGCATACCGCTCGGGGTCATTGATGTGATGCTGCCGAGCCACTGTAATGTCTCTGTCGGCACGCCATCGAGTCGCCAGCAGCAACGTTCCACCTCACGATCGAAGCTCTGTCCGAGCCGGCCTAGCAACAGTCGTTCACGGGCTACTTCCTCGTCTTCTTGCTTCCCAGCCCACCTGCCCGTTGCTGCCCTCGCCCGTAGCCACTGGGCTGCGTCGTGAATACTGACCAAGTCCCGGGAGCCAAAGTGCCGTACCTAGCCTAGCCTCTTGACCCACGGCGAATCACGGTTAATATCTTCCTCCAAGTCACCCTTCCGTAGTCGTATGGCATCTTCTTCCTTTAGTCGAGCCAGACTTGCAGCAATGACCTTGTCTATAGCGCTCTGATTTCCAGCATCAGCTTTGTTAGCCACATCTAACGGGCCATTCCTATCGCTATCATCTCGAACGATCCAGTAGCGCGCATGCCTTCCTCCTATCTACATCTATAGCCGCACCTTAGTCCACGGTTCCTCTGCTGTATTATGCCCTGCCTCTCTCCAATGACGGACAATATTATCGTATGCAATAGTAAGATATCAGCATATATAACAGCTATACCTACCTGAAATAACAAGCTCTTCGATTGCTGGGCCGTTATCTTCTGGTACTGCAATACGCTTCGGGTCAGCTAGTTCTAGTTCACCATAGTAGTCTATGATATCCTTGAGCACTTGTCCCTTGAGCTGATACTGCTGTCGAAAATGTGACTCAATGCTGCTGCCGGGCTGAACGGCTGCTTGACATAGCCGGCAGATGAGTATTTGATAATCCTGATTGAGCTATACGATGTCCTCCATTGTTGTTTGATGTCGCCTCTTTAATCTTAATTATAGAAAGTAAAGAGAGAAGCAGTCTTGTTCTTTTTCTCTATCAATTACAGTCCCCTTTCCTCTGCATTATGCTAACCCCAAGCTCATATTAGCTAACCCCAAGTGTAGGGTTGGGGTTATTTTAAGCCAATCAGCAACTCGGCCCAAGCCCAACCGATTCAAGTCCAAAATCTAAGCGAGATAACCTAACTTATTAGACGATTACTATTCAATCGTCTCTTAATAGTTCCTAGGCTTTCTACCTCACCCCACTCTGGTCCCTCTCTCTGGCTAATCACAGCCTTAGATACCAACAGGGGTTTCCTCTTTCAGTGAAACTAGGACGGACAATAGGGATGTAGTCCGCGCTCAGAGTAAAACTGCAGCTGGAGATTCGCTGGTTGCATAATTAACAAACACAAGGATGAGCAAGCTGTCAGTTTCTGTTAAGCTGATGGGTGAGGAATCCAAATACTCTAAACAGGGGAGTTAAGCCTAATCGATTTATAACCAAGTGCTTTTTAGCCGCTACGATTAGCTAAGTGTTACTGTGGAGCAAGATAGCACGTGGGGATGAACGGAAAAACTTAGAATCCTACATCCTTATGGTCCGTCCCATTTTCACTGAAAGTGGGCCTTTCGCGATCCTATTGGTTGATAATCCCTGTATCTTCCCCGCATTCTACAGAGTAGCTTGTAATAATGGATCCCGAGCAAGGTTCGATTTATAGCGGAGTTCTAACTATTTTATTGGTTGGCTTTTTTGCTTCTTTCATTGCTGGATTTCGAGTTTAACCAACCCTAGACCCTACTTATGTATGTAGACTAAAAACGCACTGTGTTTCCCCTTTCCATCCAATCACAGCCTATACATCTCTATCCCATATCTACCCCTCCAGAAAACGCACTTACTGCTATTTAGAGGGACTTCGTTCCTCTCGTCTAGCACCGCAATACGGCTGACATTATCCACTCTGATAGGGTACAGGTCGTCTCGTAGGATCCGGGCTCCTGGGGCCAGTTTTGTCTCCGCTACGCGTTTCACAATCTCATGCTCGCTCTCGTCCCTGCAGGTGATCCTGACACGGTGGGGATTCTGTGGGTCCTTAGTCACCGCTCGGCATCGCCACGTGTGGGATTATCCAGTTCGGCGCGGGCTTCGTTCTCCACTGTCGCTCGGATCGTCCCGGCTGAGAGCCTAGCCTCATCTTCTTCTAGTCTTGAAACGTCAATCGTGCAATAAAGCATGTCTGTGGGGTTCGGAGGAGCGGCTAAGGTCCTCGAATCGTTGTGGGGTAAGAACGGTGTCAGTCGTGTGACGTCAGCATATGATCGTTGAGGTCCGTCCATTGCTTGTAGCGATAGTTTCGAGCTGCTCGCGGACGCGCTGCAGTTCCTCGGTCATCTGATCCTTGATCTCCACCATCCGCTTGCCCATCTCGTGCACTATCTCTTCCTGCTTTGCAACAGCTTCCCTAAGTTCCCTGGTCATCTCCATCTGTTCCTTCAGCGCTTCCTGCAGCCTCTTGGTCTCCCGACGCGACTCTGCCAGGAGATCCAGCACCTTCTGCAGCATTGCCCTTCCATCGCTGCTGCTGCCATTGCCGCTACTCTTTCGGGTTTCGGTCGGTCGGTCGATCTGTTCTTCGGCCGGTACATTTCGCGTCGTCTGCCGGGTAGTTTTTCGCGTTTCTTTGGCAGTGTCTTCCAATTGTCGCGCGGTGTCTCGGACCTTGCTCGTTGGCCTCACCATTCGACTCGGTCTCTTTGGCGTCGAAAAGGGGGCGTCATCCTGCTCCACACGATCTCGGCCTCTATTGGGTCCGCCATGACGGGCAGTCTCCACCACGAATTTTCTCCCAACCAACGATGATTCTTCTGATCCCTTCGCGTGTAGTCAAAAATGCAGTGAAGTCTTCTCCTTGTGTTTATGGTCCCTGTTTAGTAATTTGATGAAATACATAGACATGACGCGTGCACGGATGACCCAGCAACATGCACGGGCCAGTTTTGTTGTATTTCGTCGAATTACCACCACGACTGCGTACAGTAGAATTGATTTTGGTATGGAGCACTAGGAAACGCTTTGCCGGCCCTACAACACCAGAGAAGCGTCAAGTAATTGACGATATGATCTGGGGGACCCTTGAAGGAAGTAGTGATATTCAGAAGCAGCTTCTAAAAGCTCAGAAGCGAGGAAATGCAGCGATTCGTGACTTCAATTGTACACTGAAGAAGGCGATGAAGACCATTGACAAGAAGAACAGTCAGATACAGCGCTTGGAAGAGGAAAAAGCTATACTCAAAGCTTCACTAGCAGCAAAAGAGCCCACTGGCCGAGTCCCCGTTCAATTTGACCCTAACAGGGCTTTTCCAGAAGCTCACCAGATTGTCACGGCACAGGATCAAGCTGAAAAGAATGTATTACATCGGATTGAAGAAAAACGGAAAAGGCCACGAGAAAAAGAATCCCTATATATGGAATACTGTTAAATCAACTATACACCCTGGCAATAATCAACCCTACTAGGCTTAAAGTGGGTCAATAAAATCAACTCTACTTGAGTTGATTTGGTTATTAGTTACTAGGGAAGCTCGCAAAAGGGGAATCCTACAATAATAAGGCATCAATGATGAATCCAATCTTATTATCAACCAACACTAAGAAGTGAGTCATTTGCATACGTAGCTGTTCTTTCTTTGTGTGCCTGCTTCTGTTTTGTGCTCATTTATTATCCACTTGGACATCATTCAACTTTCTCGAGGCGGTAATTTAGCTCCCTTAACTCAGGATCATAACACTTCTTCCACTGCGGATATCTTCGATAGTGTGCTTCAATGAGCTCATGTACTCGGGTTTCCATATTGCGCACGACCTGCGCCTGCTTCTTTCGCATAACACCAAGGCTCTCCTCATCCGAGGTAGCCTCACCTTCTTCACCCCCTGAGAATGAACTCGAATCGGTGTCTGATTGAATCATAGCACGATTTTGACGCCGCCTTTTGCGTCGTTTTAGTTGACCATGTTGGAGATGCTCGTAGGTTTCCAACCCTCTCTTCAAAAACCACAGGCACTCATTAACTTCGTCACATTCCTCGAACGTTTTAGCGACTTCAATCTGCCTTATGGGACACCATTTCTTTGGGAAATAATATCTCTCAGGAGAGTTGTCTAATTCCAGTGTATGTGCTGGAAAGTGGCTTTGGGTCAGCCCGGCTGATTCTTGCTCCCGAAGACGAACTAATTGGGCATAAAGTTCGTTCTCAGGCATTCGAATTAACTCCTGTTCGGGTTGTATGACATGGGGCATGTAACTCTTGGAAAATAGAGTGGTTGCTAATTGCCAGCCGTCAACAGGATGGGTGTTGATGTTGGATGCTGGCAGTGGATGAGTAAGAGTTCCAGTCTGTCGGGACTTGGCGTAGTGTCTGATGAGCCCATAATGCGCGCTAGGCCACCAAATGAATTGTTTTTCTTCCTTGTCTTTCCGCATGAATCCTCGGCTATGCGGGTAGGGGAGAATCCAATGGCTTCCAAGAAACGACCTTTTCAGGTCTTGACGCCATTTCCGTGCGCCAGCCTTGCCTCGTGCAGTTTTGATGGCATGGAAACTCTGTTGGAATAGCATGCGATATGGCTTCTCGTTCCATCCTTGCCGTTCAAAATAGTCATCCTTCGATTTCCAAAGCCAAGAAAATAAGACATGAATATCCTTTACCGCCAATCGATTTCCTTGTGCAAGCTGAAGGGGCTGGTGATCCTTCAGCATGGCGTTATTAACACTACCGTAACACAGGGGAATCTCTCCTGACAATGCAGATTCCAGACATTCTGGCCTCAGAGCTGACTTGACGTGGAAGAAAACGTCCTTTCGAAAGGCACACAGACACAGCTCTCGAAGGTAATTTTCTAGGAGGTCAAGGCACTTTGGAATAGAACTGAATTCAAGCATCCACTGGTAGGCCTTATTCACTCGAATGAAGTCGATCCGTACGTCTCGCACTTGGTGGTATCGAGCGCGATACACATTCTGCATCGATGGGTTGTTAAACATCATATAAGGTGCATAAGGTTGGCGGAAGGTAAGCGTATTCCAGTCGATCTTGTCAAGAAACCAAGCATAACCATACCTCTCCATGGTAAGCTTGAATCCAAGACCTTCGTGGCGCCGAAGTCCATCTGG